TGTGTTCTCTAGCTTAGGCGTAGCACCTGTTTGTAGTACAGACTCCCCTGCTGTGTCAGGCGTAGGACCGTTTGCTTTGTCTAGCCTAGGCTCCACACTCGCTCCTCCGTCGTCTGCTACTACTGCTTCGATGTCCTTCACACTTGACTCCGGTGCGTGTGCCTGCTTCTTCCGCGACCACGCCGCCCTCTCTCCGCTTGCCGCGCCTGCCGCTGTCGCACTTGCTAACCCCTCGTCTAGTCCTGTTGTAGCTCGCAGCTACACTGTCCAGCGGTCCCCTCGGGCTCCCTAACAGGCCTCTACATTCCCTCGTTCTCTCGGAACTTAGTTGGTGTCGGCTGACTTCCGGACCTCGGCGTCACCACTATGTTCCCGGATCACGAGCGGTACACCGTTTGTACCAAGGCCGCCTCAGGTTCCCCCCTTGCGACGTTCCCCTGGGACCCTGTGTCTGGCCTCTTTATGCTGGACACTGCTTCCCCCCCAGGTGGACCGTCCCTCCCGGGTTCTACATCTACCCGGGTCGCCGCTGCGTGCTTGTGTCGGTCGCTCACTCACCCGTCGCTTCTGTGGCACCACCGCCTAGGTCACCCCGCACTCCCGCGCTTGTGTTACATGTCCCAGCACGGTCTCATCCTAGGTCTCCCTGCCCTCCTTCCCTCGCCTTTGCCGTTGTGCACGCCCTATGTCAAGGGACAGCTGCGCCATGCTCCTCACTCCTCCTCGCTTCGTCCTGCCACCGCACCCCTCCAGATCGTGCACCTGGACGTCTGGGGCTCAGCCCCCATCCCCGTACTGCGTCGCGAGCTCTACTTTCTTGTGCTCGTGGACGACTACACGCACTACACCACAGTGTTTCCAATGGAGCGGAAGGCCGACGTGCCCGACGTTCTCATCCCGTGGGTCGTGGCTGCCCTCCTTCACCGCGGTCTCCCTGTGTTGTGTATCCACTCCGACCGTGGCGGCGAGTTCGCCTAAGGTCGGCTTGGACAGTTCAGACGTGCAGAGGGCATCACCCTGTCGTACTAACTACCGGACTCTCCGCAGCAGAATGGGGTCGCTGAGCAACGAATCAGCTTGGTCATGGAGGTGGCGCGTACCTCCATAATTCATGCCGTTGCACCCCATTTTCTGTGGCCGTTCATCGTTCGCTACTTTCCTCACCAGCTTAACCTCTGGCCGCGCTCTTTGCGACTGCAGGTTTCGCTGACACTTCTTTATACCGGGTTTCCTGGTGACGCGTCCGCGTTCCACGTCTGGGGCTGCCTTGCTCACGTTCGTGCCTCCGGCATGGACAAGCTCACTGCCCGCACTGTCCCCTGTGTCTTCCTCGGTTTCCCCCTAGACTCCTCGAACTTCCTTCACAGTGTCACCACTTCCTTCACTCCCGTGACATCACCTTCGACGAGTCTTTCTTTTACCACCACATTCCCCACTGAGGTCTCCCGGTTCACCCCCCCCTTGTTTCTGGTCCCCACTCCGCCAGTCGCCCTGGCTCCCCTTCCTCCCCATCCTGCTCCGTCTGGTATGTCTCACGTCACACCCCCCCCCATCAGGAGTCCCAGTCGAGGAGTCGGCTGACTCTGGTGGCCCTGCGGCACAGCTCCCGCTGCATGTCCCCCCCTCCATTTTCTCCCTCCTCGCCGTCGCAGTCATTGCCGCCGCAGCCGCAGCCGCCGCCACCATTGCAGCAGCAGCCGCCGCCGCAGCAGCAGCAGCCGTTCGTGGACTCTGGGGGTCCTGGAGTTGAGAAGGGTGCTAGTCTTGAGGTTCCTGTCGTGGCTTGTCCCGGCTGGCTCGAGGGTGGCACCGGTGCTGGAGAGGATTCTCGCTCTGGGGGTGCTCGCTCTACGGGCGCTGGAGTGGAATGTTCTGGCAGTCGTCGCGTTGCCGCTGGCGGTCCCAGCGTGGTCGTCGTGCAGCGGCAGCAGCAATCGCCACCGGTGTCCGCCCTTCGCTTGCTCGGCCTTCCCTCCCCTGACCACTCGCCTATGCTTCCCCTGCCGCCTCCTCCCCTACCTGTTCACGACCCAGCGTTTCCTCCGCCAAACTCGTCCCCAGCTCGTTTCCCACCGTGTTCCCCTTCTCTTACACCTCCTCTGTCTCCTGACCCGACGCCTCCGTCTCACATCTGGTCTCGCCGTCCCCCTCGTGCTCACCCCGTCTCTCCTGTTCAGAGCTCTCACCCTATGTTGTTTTATTCCCACGCGTCTCGTCCTCCCCTCCTGCCTTTGCCTCCTTTGTTGTCGCTCGCTGTCGCGCCCCCCCCTATGTCTGACTTCCTTCGTGCTGCTCATCCTCCTTTTCCTCGAGTCCTTACCTCCCTCGTTACCGACTTGCCAGTTCCTGTCTCCTGTCTTGACCCTCTTGTCGCGGCTGTCGCTGACTTCGCCTCCACCCACCGCCTTGACTACACCACCGCTCTGGTCTCTGACCCTGTCCGTCCTTCGTCCGCCGGGGGTGCTCCTGCCCTTGGCAGTGACGTCCCAAGGGACAGGCAGTACGAGCTGTCTTTCCTGTCTGAGGCTGCTCCCCATCTCTGCTCCTAGCTGCTATTCCTTGAGGGTGACCCAGACGCTTTCGACATCCCGACCCCTTGCACTTACGCTGAGGCAACCTCGGGACCCTAGGCCTCTCAATAGATAGGTGCCATGGCATCTTCGAGATCCACCGGCACCTACGTCGACGCAGTTCTCGCACCTGGGCTGAACATAGTCGATGGCCGGTGGCTCTTCAAGGTGAAGCGCCCTCCTGGAGAGCCGCCTCTGTTCAAGGCACGCTACGTGGCTTGAGGCTTCAGTCAGCGTGAGGGGGTGGTCTTCTTTCAGACCTTCGCCTCGACCCCGAAGATGACTAGTCTTCGGGCGCTGCTACACATAGCAGCACAGCGTGACTACAAGCTTCACTCCCTTGACTTCTCTACTCCTTTTCTTCAGGGCAGCCTACATGAGCAGGTCTACCTGCGCCGTCCTCAGGGCTTTACTGGTACCTTCCCTCCTGGGACCCAGTGGCTCCTCCGGCGCCTGATCTACGGCCCGCGACAGGCGCCCCGTGAGTGGCACGACACGCTGCGTGCTACGCTAGCTGACCTGCAGTTCTTTCCGTCCTCTTCAGACTCCTCGCTCTTCGTTCGTGCTGGCCAGACCCCGTTCTACATCCTTGTCTATGTAGACGACCTAGTCTTCGCTACTACAGACAGAGACGCGCTGGCCTCCGTGAAAGCCAAGCTGCTGAGGAGACCCACCTGCACTGACCTAGAAGATCTGTGCCACTACCTTGGCTTGCAGATCTCCAGGGACAGAGCAGCGCGCACCATCACTCTCACACAGTCACACTTGGTGCGCCAGGTCCTTCAGAGGTTCGGTCTTGAGTTCTCCTCCGTGCAGCCCACACCTCTGCCAGTAGACCACAGGCTCTCAGCTCCAGTTCCTGAGGAGTCAGCAAAGCTCAAATGGTCCTTACGCAGAGCTGGTGGGTTGCCTCATGTACCTGATGACTTGCACTCGTCCAGATCTCGCATACCCTCTCAGCATCCTTGCTCGTTTTGTGGCCGCAGGCTGACACTGACCACAGCACTGGTCAGCCGCTAAGAGGGTTTTGGGTTATCTAGCAAGTACATCGGGCATGGTGTTAGTGCTGGGAGGACGCAGGCCAGTGGTCCGTACTGGGCAGTCTGACGTTTCTTGGGCAGATGACGATGAGACCCTCAGGTCCTCCCAGGGCTACTGCTTTAGCCTTGGTTCAGGGGCCATCTTGTGGAGGTCCACTCGCTCCTCGTCCGTTGCCCAGTCTAGCTGTGAGGCTGAGATCTACGCTGGTGCCATGGCGGCACAGGTGCTCCGGTGGCTGACCTTCTTGCTTGCTGGCTTAGGTGAGCGGCCTAGCTCTGCCGCGGTTCTGTACGCTGACAACAGGGCCATGATCCATCTGTGTCAGGAGCCTAGCCTTGAGGGCAGAGCAAAGCAAATCCAGCTGCTGTACTTCCTCCTTTCGCGAGCTACAGTAGCGTCGCCAGACCCGCGTAGTACACTTGGCCTCCGGTGCCAACACAGCTGATATCTTTACTAAGGCGCATGCACCTAGAGATCATCAGCGGCACTGTTTGGAGCTTGGTCTAGTTCTTGTAGACTCTCCCTTGCTAGGACCTTGATTGTGTACTCCTCAATAATTATGCCTTCCAGACTGGCCTTGTGGCTTCTCTTTCAGTGGCCGGACTAGTCGTGCCGCCATGGTTTGCTCTGTCTTGCTTGTACTCTTGCTGACTGGTCTTCTGACCCCTGCCTTAGAGGTTGGACTAGTAGTGCCACCCTGAGCTGCGTGTTTCTTGCTCAGCACTACCCCTTATCTAGCCTAGGGGGTGTGTCAACTGCTACATATGATGTTATGTAGATGTTATAGTCTAGATAGGTGTATGTTTTTAGTGGGTACAACCCCAACACTATATCTCTCTTGTTCTCCCTTGTTTCTATTATCATAGTATTCTAACACCCATCTGTTTTCTAGGGCCGTCCGGTCCTTCCAAGATATCAGAAAACTTGATTAGGCGAGCCCCTCATGGATCCTTCATCCGATGGCTGAGAACCTTCGCAGGTTCGACATTAGGCTCGGCGAGCGGTAAGATGTTCTAGTTCGTTCGGTGACGTGGAAGTTTACTGGTGCTAGTGATGTAGGGTCGAAGTAATAGCAAGTGGAATGATGGGCTGACGTTCCAGGTGGCCGGTAACAGTAGATGGGCTGTAACGGAAAATATCATATGGCTGATGGTAAATGGTCCACAGCAGCGGGGGCGGAGTTTTGGGATGATGGGCAGTCGAAGATTCTGGGTTTCGAGCAGTACTAAGTTTCCAGCCTGGTAAGTTATTGCCCGTCGGTGTAGATCGGCGTTGCAGTTACATATTATATTCGCGCGCTTAATAACTTCGGTTGCTCGCTCCTGGGCGCTCCTCGGTGAACTGTTCGGCTCGTGGTACTGGATTTTCGATGTTGGGCATGATCAGTACTGTAGGGTTCTGCCCGTGTTTCAGGTAAAACGATGACTGTCGTGTAGTGGTTGACGGGGCGTTATTATACGCGAACTCAATCAGTGGCAGTTGCTGCTCCCTGTCGGCCACGTCATCGCAGGTGGCGCGAATCAGCTGCTCCATTGTCTGATTGGCCCGTTTGGTCTGTCCGTTGGTCTCGGGATGGTAGGCGGAGGAGAATTGCAGGCGCGTGCCAAACTGTTCCCAGAGGTTGCGCCAAAAGTTACTGGTGAATTATGTGTCACGATCCGAAATGATGGTGGATGAAATTATTTGAGATGAAGAGGCGGGTTGTTTCTTCGGCTGAGATATTTTTCTTGCAGGCGGCGAAGTGGGCCATTTTCGTCAGCTTATCAACGACGACAAATGTCGCGTCATTACAGCCGTCCGCGGCAGGCAACCCCGTGACGAAATCCATCGTCACCTGCTGTCACGCACGCTCAGGCGACAGAATCGGCTGCAATGTTCTAGATGGCTTCTTTTTTTATGATTTCATGGTCTGGCAGGTTCTGCATGAAACCACATGCCGCTGCACGTCCCCTTGCATGTCTGGCTAGAAATAATATCTGGTCAACTGCTGCCTAATTTTCTCCACTCCGAAGTGCTCCGAAACTGTACTGTCGTGAGCTTCCTGTAATAATAATTCTCGTAGTAGGCGGTACTCTGGTACCCCAATGCGGTCAGTCCCTGTGTTTAGGTAATAACTCCTTTAGCTGCTGCGAGCTGATGGTACGCGCCCGACGTGAAGAATCTGTCCGTCTGGTACCCGTGGGTGAATAGACCTGTTAATAGCGGGAAATTTGGGCGAAGATTATGGAGTTGAGGTGGGCGGATGGGCGAGGAAGCGGGTCTGCAATGTTGGATGGCCCTTTCTTGTAGGTGGCCGTGTAATGGAAGTTGGACTCCTTAAAATCCAACCACCAAATCTGTCGCGGGTTGAGTAATGGCTGTGCGCGGATGTACAGTAGGCTTCGCTGGTCTGTCCGGACTATCACGTCTGCGCGCGGTAGCACTGCCACACTTTGAACGTGTGCACGATCACGAGCATTTCCTTGTCATGTTTTGGGTATTTTGGCTCGGGCGGATGCAGTTTTCGTGACTCGTATGCGATTGGTTGTAGCCCTTCGCCGAAGTCCTGTAACAGTACTGTTCCGATGGCGATGTTGCTGGCGTCGGTAATTACTTCGAGTGGACGGTGAGGATCGGCAATTACGAAGGACTTGGGCTGAGCACAGAAAAGTTTTGAGCGCCAAGAAGGCAGCTTACTCTTTCTCCCCCCACCTATACTCAGTTCCTTTCCGCGGCACGTCAGTTAACGGTGCAGTTACCCCCGCCATATTCGGAATAAATCTCCGAGCATAGTTAACGAACCCTGAAATGCTTTGCAGGTCCTGCAGGTTTATAGGCGGTAGCCAGGCTTGCATTGTCTCGATCTTGCGCAGGTCCACTTCTACGCCCTTAGTGGAAATCACGTCTCCCAGAAACTCTAAGTGATCTTTTAAAAACTCGCACTTAGATCCCTTCGTGAGGAGCCGATGCTCCTGCAGTAGCGTGAAAACTACTTTGAGGTCTTTAAGTGCTGCTCCCGGGTCTCACTGTAGATCACGATATCGTCCAAGTAGACTTTAACACACTAATCTACGAGGGAACTGAAGATCTGGTTCATGATCATCTGAAAAGTCGTCGGGGCGTTCGTCAGACTGAAGGGCATAACTACACACTCGAAACTCCCGTGCCTAGTGCAAAAAGCAGTCTTATGACAGTCAGTTGCGACTACTCGAATCTGATGGTAACCCCCTGTAAATTTGTTTTGGAGAAGAACCGAGCTTTGCGAAGTTGGTCGATCAGGTCGTCGGCACGCGGAATGGGGTAGTGCGACTTGATAGTGACCCTGTTCAATGCTCTGTTGTCAGTGCACATTCGGTACCCACTGCCTTTCTTTGGGGTGAACAGTATGGGGGCGGCAAATGGGGGATGGAGTTTTTCTCCAGTAATCTAACTGTTTCCGTAATTCCTCTAACTCTGGCTGTGTTAATCAGAATTGCCGCTACATTGTGGGCTGTGTCCGAGGTTCTAATCCGATTCGATGGTTAAAGGGCCTTTCCCGTTGTGATCCCTCGGCCAGGTTGTCTAGAAATATGTTCAGGCATCTGCGAATCAGCTGCGCTAAATCGGCCGGCACTACTGCTGTCAGCTTCTCTAAATCGGATGGCTGCGACGCCTCGTCAACTTCGCGAACGACTACAGCGAAGAATTCCGCTCCCCGTGCGACCGCTCATTTGATCGTCACGGAGTTCACCTGCGTCACTCCCCCCATGATCCCCTTCGTCCATTCTGGTAACATCACTCAGTCGAGCGGTATTGCCGCAGTCCATATCTTTTAGGGCTGTCCTCCCTCCCAGTGCACGTACGCTGATGTCTCCGCCGCAGTGGTCACGACTGCGCCTGCACCTGAGACAGCAGCTGCGGCTACCCACAGCAGCGCCAGCGCCGGGGTCGCTGTAGCCCCAAGGGAGGACGTGGAGGTGGCGCTAGTGGTGGTGGTGGCGGGGACAGTGGTTCTGACGAGGAGGTTGGTGCTGGTGCCCAGGAGCAGCAGCACTCGCCGCACTCGCAGCTGCCGCCGCAGCAGCAGCCGTCACAGCAGTAGCAGCAGCAGCCGTGGGCTTGTCTCCCCCCCAAGTGGCCAGGAGCCCCTGGCGGTGGTGGTCGTGGTGGTGGCCCTCGCAGCTCAGCGTCCACCGGCAGCTTTCGTGCAGTGAGGTGCCAGTACCAGCTTCAAACGGGGCCCCTGGGTGGCATGGTGTGCCGCCGCTCGCACACCACCGCCCGCTGCTTCCGCCACCTCGACGACCTCTTCCGTCACCGCTTTGGTCCCGCCCCAGACCTCCCTTACTGGCCCAGCCTGCTGCGAGACGGTGTGCCTGTGTTTGACTTAGACATTGATCAGATTAGTTTTGCCTTGCATTCTCTGTATGCTGACGCTTCGAGTGTTTCTGGACCGTATTCCTCTATGTTCTCTAGCTTAGGCATAGCACCTGTGTGTAGTCCAGACTCCCCTGCTGCATCAGGCGTAGGATAGCTTGCTTTGTCTAGCCTAGGCTCTACCCTTGCTCCTCTGTCGTCGGCCACTATGGCGTCGCTGTCCTTCACTCTAGACTCCCGTGCGTCAGCCTGCTTCTTCCGCGACCACGCCGCCCTCACGCCGCTTGCTGCGCCTGCCGTTGTCGCCCTTGTGGAGCCCTCCTCTGGTCCTCTAGTTGCTTGCAGCTACACTACACTTCCCTGTCCGGCGGTTCCCTCGGGTTCCCTTATAGGCCTGCACCTCCCTTCGTTCTCCAGGTACTTAGTTGGTGACGGCTGTCTTCAGGACCTCGGCATTACCACTACGTTCCCTGGTTACGAGCAGTATGCGGTCTGTTCCGAGGCCGCCTCAGGTTCCCCCCTTGCGACGTTACCCTGGGACCCTCTATCTGGCCTGTTTACGCGGGACACTATATGAGCTGTGTTGGCACCGGAGGTTAGGTGTACTACGCGAGCCTGGCGACGCGGCTGCAGCTCGCGCAGGAGGAAGTTCCGCAACTGGATGTGCTTTGCTCTGCCCTCAAGTTGAGGCTCCTGACACAGGAGGATCATGGCCCTCTTGTCTTGTCTGCGTACAGGACTGGTGCAAAGCTACGCCACTCACCTACAGTAAGTCAGTGAGCAAGAAGGTCAGCCATTGGAGCTCCTGTGCTGCCCTGTCACCGGCGTAGATCTCGGCCTCACAGCTGGACTGGGCAACAGACGAGGAGCGAGTAGCTCTCCACGAGACAGCACCTGAACCAAAGGCTGAAGCAGTAGCCCTGCGAAGACCTAAGGGTCTCAGCGTCATCTGCCCAAGAAGCGTCTGTGTGCCCAGTAAGGACCACCGGCTTGCGTCCTCCCAGCATTAACCCCATGCCTGATGTACTCGCGAGATAACGCAAAACCTGTTAGCTGCACACTAGTGCTGAGGTCTATGTCTGCCTGTGGCCACAAAGCGAGCCAGGATGCTGAGGGGTATGCAAGATCTGGACGAGTGCAAGTCATCAGGTACATGAGGAACTGCGTAAGGACCACTGGGCTCTACTGACTCCTCAGGAACTGGAGCAGGGAGCATATGATCTACTGGAAGAGGTGTGGGCTGTGCGGAGGAGAACTGAAGACCGAACATCGGAAGGACCTGGCGCACCAAGTGTGACTGGGTGAGAGTGATGGTGCGCGCTGCTCTGTCTCTAGAGATCTGCAGGCCCAGGTAGTGGTGCAGTTCTCCTAGGTCAGTGCAGGTGTGTCTCCTCAGCAGCTCAACCTTCACTAAGGCCAGTGCGGTGGTGTCTGCAGTGGCAAAGACCAGATCTTCTACGTAAACAAGGATGGCGAAAGGAGTCTGACCAGAACGAACAAAGAGCGAGGGGTCTGCAGAAGAAGGAAAGAACTGCAGGTCTGCAAGAGTAGCACGCAGCGTGTCGTGCCACTCGCGGGGAGCCTGACGCAAGCCGTAGACTAGGCGCCGAAGAAGCCACTGGGTCCTAGGAGGGAAGGTACCAGTGAAACCCTGAGGGCGGTGCAGGTAGACCTGCTCGTGTAGACTACCCAGAAGAAAGGCAGTGGAGAAGTCGAGGGAGTGTAACTCGTAGTCACGCTGTGCTGCTACGTGTAGCAGTGCCCGAAGAGTAGTCATCTTCGGGATCGGGGCAGAAGTCTGAAAGAAGTTCACCCCCTGACGCTGACAAAAGCCTCTAGCCATGTAGCGCGCCTTGAACACAGGTAGCTCTCCAGGAGGGCGCTTCACCTTGAAGAGCCAGCGGCCATCGACTACGTTCACCCCAGGTGGAGGAACCGCGTCGACGTAGGTGCCGGTGGATCTCCAAGATGCCACCTCCTACTCCATGGTAGCTATCCACTGAGAGGCCCAAGGTCCTGATGTTGCCTCAGCGTAAGTGCGAGGGGTCGGGATGCCGAAAGCGTCGGGGTCACCCTCAGGGACTAACAGCAAGGAACAGAGATGGGGAGCAGCCTCGGACAGGAAAGCAAGCTCGTACTGGCGGTCCTCCACGATGTCACTGCCGAGGGCAGGAGCACCCCCAACAGACGGAGGACAGGCAGGGTTTGAGACCAGAGCGGTGGCGTAGTCAAGGCGGCGGGTAGAGGCGAAGGCAGCGACCGCAGCGACAAGAGCTGCGAGACACGAGACTGGAACAGACAGGTCGGTAACGAGAGAGGCAAGGACCCGAGGAACAAGGGGACGAGCGCCGCAAAGGTAGTCAGACAGGGGGGGAGGCGCAACAACAAGAGAGGACGGAGGCGACGATGGTAGGAGTGGAGAAGGAGACGCGTGAGAACGAAGCAACATAGGATGAGAGCGCGGGACAAGGGAAACGGGGCGAGCACGGGAGGGACGACGAGACTAGACGTGAGACGGAGGCATCGAGTCAGGAGAAAGAGGAGGGAACACAGGAGGGGAACGAGGAGGAAGACGAGCTCGAGACGAGTCCAGGGGAGGGGGAGGGGGGGGGACAGGGGCGACCGGGGAAGGGGTGACCAGGAACAGGGGGGGAGTAACCCGGGGACCTCTATGGGGGAATCGGTGGTAGAAGGAGATGGACTCGTCAAAGGTGATGTCACGGGAGTGAAAGAACCGGTGAGACGGCGGGTGGTAGAAGTGCAAGTCGGACGCGTCAAGGGGGAAACCAAGGAAGAGACAAGGGAGGGTGCGGGCAGTGAGCTTGTCCGTGCCAAAGGCATGAACGTCAGCAAGGCAGCCCTAGACATGAAACGCAGACGCGGACCAAAAAAGGGTCGGCGAAACCTGTGGCTGCTGGGGGTGCGGCCACACGTTAAGCTGGTGAGTGGCGTAGCGAACAAAGAACGGCCACAGAAAATGGGGTGCACCAGCGTGGATCATGGAGGTACGAGCCACCTCCATGACCAAACCGATGTGTCACTCAGCGACCCCATTCTGCTGCGGGGAGTCCGGCAGGGTGAACGTCTGGGTGATGCCCTCCGCACGACAGAGACGACCAAGGACACCAGAGGCATACTTGCCACCACGGTCGGAGTGGAGACGCAAGACAGGGAGACGGTGGTGGACACGCGTAGAGACAAGCCACGGGATGAGAACGTCAGGCAGGTCGGCCTTCCGCTCCGGGGGGAACACGGTGGTGTAGCGCGTGTAGTCGTCGACAAGCACTAGGAAGTAGCGCTCTCGACGCGGCCCATGGATGGGGGCGGGGCCCCAAACGTCCATGTGCAGAGTCTGTAGCGATGCGGCAGTAGGGGGGAACGAGGAGGAGTGAGGGGCACGGCGGAGCCGGCCCTCGACACAGGGCATGCACGGTGGTGCTGGGGAGGAGGGCAACTCGGGGAACGACCCTGGGATACCTAGGAAATGGCCGTGCTGTGACATGTGACGCAGACGCTGGAGGGCGGGGTGACCTAGACGGTGGTGCGAGAGGAGTGTCGGGTGAGTGAGCGACCAACAGGAGCAGGCCGCAGCAACCTAGGTAGACGCAACCACCTGAGGAGACGTCCCAACTGGGGGGGTCGCGGTGTCCAGTGTGAACAGGCCGGACACCGGGTCGCGGGGGAACGTGGTGAGGGGGGCACTAGTGGCGGCCTCGGTACAGACAACGTACCGCTCGTGACCAGGGAAAGTAGTGGTGACGCCAAGGTCCTCGAGGCAGCCGACACCAACTAGGTTCGTGGAGAACGAGGGGATCTGCAGGCCTGTAAGAGAGCCCGAAGGAACCGCCGGACAGGGAAGGGTGGTGGAACTGCGAGCGACAACCGGGCCGGAGGAGGGGTCAGCAAGGGAAACTGCCGCAGGACTAGCGAGCGGCGTCAGTGTAGTGGAGTCACGGAAGAAACACCAAGGAGCGCCTGAGTCGAGGGTGAAGGAGAGCACAGCGGTGACGTCTGAAAACAGAGCAGCGACAGTAGAACCTAGGCTAAACAAAGCAGGGGATCCTACGCCTGATGCAGCAGGGGAGGCAAGACTAGACATGCCGACACTAGGCAAGAAGGGGTAGTAAGAAGCAGTCACACTAGAGTCATCAGCATACATCACACGCAGGGCAGCAACAATCTCATCCATGTCCATACCAAAGATCTGAATGCTACGGCAAAACAAGCTATGCCATTCGGGGAGGTTGGGCGACGGGCCGAAGCGCTGACGAAACAGGTCATCCAGGCGACGGAAACAGCGGACGGAGGTGTGACCGATCTTACCGCAAACAGAACAACGGCGAGGACCGGTGTGGAGCTGGTACTGACGGGCGCGTCACCCGACCCGCCACCCGGCAGCCCACCACGCGCACGACCACCACGTCCACCGCCACCACCAGCGCTAGGCCACCCGAGCTGGAGGCCACTCGCCCGCCTCTGCAGCTGCGGCTGCTGAGGCTGGTGCGAGGGCTGCTGCTGCGGCTGGTGCGTGTCCGGCTGAGACACGTGCGGCTGCTGAGGTGGCTGCTCGGCTGCACCTGTCAGGGTTCTCTTGTCAGCGCTACCACTAGGCGACCCGACTCCACCACCACCTCCACCTGCACCTCCACGCGACGGCGCTGGGAGCCGACTAGAACGGCCGCGGCGGCTCAGGGGGGGGCCGGCTAGGACGGGCGCGACGGTGCAGGGGGCCGACTAGGACGCACACGATGGCTCAGGGGGCCGGCTAGGACGGGCGCGAACGGCGCAGGGGGCCGGCTAGGAACAGGCGCGACGACGCAGGGGGGCCGGCTAGGACGGGCGCGAACGGCGCAGGGGGCCGGCTAGGAGCAGGCACGACGGCCCAGGGGGGCGGCTAGGATGGGCGCGGACAGCTCAGGGGGCCGGCTAGGACGGGCGCAAACGGCTCAGTGGGCCTGCTAGGACGGGCGCGAATGGCTCAGGGGGCCGGCTAGGACGGGTGCGACGGCTCAGGGGGCCGGCTAGGACGGGCTCGAACAATGCAGGGGGCCGGCTAGGAATAGGCGCGACGGGCTAGGGGCGGCGAGACGAGGGCCTAGGGCGGAAGCGAGGGCGGCGGGACCTACCTACCAAGCGTGATACCATCTTAGCATAGGATTGAATGTCGAGAGAAACGAGTACAAGGGTATAAGCCTAAGTGTTGTACCCTCTAAGATACGAACCTCTACAGTCTATACATGTAATAAACTATATATATTTGACAGTGTCACTTATACATACATTGTTATGTATAAGTTATAGGCTAGATAGGGTATGTTCTTAGTGGGTACAACCCAAGCGCTATATCTCCCTATCAAAATGAGTAGTGAATAGAATAGAAGGATACAGGGGTATATAGACTAGGGGTTGTACCTTCTAAGGCACAATCCAGTATAGTCTACAGTAACTACAAAAGTTACATTTGACACAACCCCTAGACTATATAGGGGCAGTGCCTAAAAGGAGAAGAAGCAGCTCAGGGCGGCACTACTAGTCCAGCCTCTGAGGCAAGGGTCTAAAGACCAGTCAAAGGAATACAGGCAAGGCAAGAGCAAGACCAGGGCGGCACTACTAGTCCAGCCACTAGAAGAGGCCACAAGGCCAGTCAGGGTAATATATATAAAAAAGGTTCGTACATAATCAAGGCCCCAGCAAGTGAGAAGCTACAGGAACAAGACCAAGCTGTACACTGTGCCGCTGATGATCTTTAGGCGCAAGCGCCTTCGTAAAGATATCACATGTGTTGGCACCGAAGGCCAAGTGTACTACGCGGGCCTGGCGACGCTGCTGCAGCTCACGCAAGAGGAAGTACCGCAGCTGGATGTGCTTCGCTCTGCCCTCGAGTCGCGGCTCCTGACACAGGAGGATCATGGCTCTGTTGTCAACATACAGGACCGGGGTAGAGCTAGGCCGCTCACCTAAGTCAGTGAGCAAAAAGGTCAGCCAGCGGAGCCCCTGTGCCGCCATGGCACCGGCGTAGATCTCGGCCTCACAGCTGGACTGGGCAACAGACGAGAAGCGAGTAGCTCTCCACGAGACAGCACCTGAGCCAAGGCTAAAGCAGTAGCCCTATGAGGACCTAAGAGTCTCAGCGTCGTCTGCCCACGAAGAATCTGTGAGCCCAGTAAGGACCATTGGCCTACGCCCTCCTAGCACTAACCCCATGCCTGATGTACTTGCAAGATAACGCAAAACCCTCTTAGCGGCAGACTTGTGCTGAGGTCGGTGTCTGCCTGTGGCCACAAAGCGAGCCAGGATGCTGAGAGGGTATGCAAGATCCGGGCGAGTGCAAGTCATCAGGTGCATGAGGCAACCCACCAGCCCAGCGTAAGGGCCACTGGGCTCTACCAACTCTTCAGGAACCGGAGCAGAGAGCCTGTGGTCTACAGACAGAGGGGTGGGGTGTGCAGAGGAGATCTGAAGACCGAACCTCTGAAGGACCTGGCACACCAAGTGTGAATGAGTGAGGGTGATGGTGCGCGCTGCTCTGTCCCTGGAGATCTGCAAGCCAAGGTAGCGACGCAATTCTCCAAGGTCAGTGCAAGTGTGTCTCTTCAGCAGCTCTACCTTCACGGAGGCCAGTGCGTCCCTGTTTGCAGTGGCGAAGACCAGGTCGTCTACGTAAACAAGGATGTAGAATGGAGTCTCGCCAGCACAAACAAAGAGCGAGGGGTCTGCAGAGGACGGAAAGAACTGCAGGTCAGCAAGTGTAGCACGCAGCGTATCGTGCCACTTACGAGGAGCATGTCGCAGGCCGTTGACGGGGCGCCGCAGGAGCCACTGGGTCCCAGGAGGGAAGGTACCAGTGAAACCCTGAGGGCTGCGTAGGTAGACCTGCTCGTGTAGACTGCCCTGAAGAAATGCAGTAGAGAAGTCGAGGGGGTGAAGCTCGTAGTCACGCTGAGCTGCTACGTGTAGCATCACCCGAAGAGTAGTCATCTTCGGGGTCGGAGCAAAGGTCTGGAAGAAGTCCACCCCCTCATGCTGACTGAAATCTCTAGCCACGTAGCGCGCCTTGAACACAGGCGGCTCTCCAGGAGGGCGCTTCACCTTGAAGAGCCAATGTCCATCGACTACGTTCACCCCAGGTGGGGGAACTGCGTCGACGTAGGTGCCGGTGGATCTCCAAGATGCCATCTCCTGCTCCATGGCAGCTATCCATTGAGAGGCCCAGGGTCCCGAAACTGCCTCAGCGTAAGTGCGAGGGGTCGGGATGTCGAAAGCGTCGGGGTCACCCTCAGGGACTAGAAGCATGGAACAGAGATGGGGAGCAGCCTCGGACAGGAAAGCGAGCTCATACTGACGGTCCTCCACGACGTTACTGCCGAGGGCAGGAGCACCCCCGACAGACGGAGGACAGGCAGGGTCAGAGACCAGAGCGTTGGCGTAGTCAAGGTGGCGAATAGAGGCGAAGTTAGCGACCGCAGCGATAAGAGCGTCAAGACACGAATCCGGAACAGACGGGTCGGTAACGACAGAGGCAAGGACCCGGGGAACAAGAGGACGAGTGGCACTCAGGTAGTCAGACAGAGGGGGGGGCGCAACAACAAGAAAGGACAGAGGAGGCGATGGGAGAAGGGGAGGACGAGACACGTGGGAACGAAGCAACATAGGGTGAGAGCACGAAACAGGGGAGACAGGTCGAGCACGGAAGGGAAGGCGAGACCAGACATGAGACAGAGGCGTCAGGTCAGGAGACAGAGGAGGGGACACAAGAGGGGAACGAGGGGGGAAATTAGCCGGAGACGAGTCCGGAGGAGGGAACACAGGGCCGTAGACAGGAGGAGGAGGAGGCACAGACGCGAGGTCAGGGGACGGAAGGCCGAGCAGGCAAAGAGCTGACACCGGCACCAGGACCGCAAGCTGCCGGATGGCTACCTCCAGAACACTCCACTCCAGCACCCCCAGAAGGAACAACCCCAGAGCTCAGAACCCCTCTAGCGCCGGTACCACCCCCACGCCTGCCGGGACAAGCAAGGACATGAGTCCCAGGACTAGTACCCACCCCATCTCCAGCACCCCCAGAGTCAACGAACTGCTGCGGCGACGGTTGCGGTGGCGGCGGCTGCAACGGCGGCTGCGGCGATGGCGGCAGCGGTGACGCCAGCAGCGATAGCGGTGGCGACGGCGGCTGCGGAGGCGGAGGAGGAGGAGACACATGAGGAGGGGCAGGCGGCAAGGACAGTGCCGCAGGACCACCCGAGTCAGCAGACTCCTCAACCGGTACAACCGACATAAGCGGGGTGACGTGGGACTCACCAGAGGAGGCAGGACCGGGAGGGGGAGGGGGAGGGGCAGGGACTACCGGGGAAGGGGTGACCAGGAACAAGGGGGGGGTTAACCGGGGGACCTCGGTGGGGGAAGCGGCGGTATAAGGAGACGGACTCGTCAAAGGTGACTTCGCGGGAGTGAAAGAACCGGTGAGACGGCGGGTGGTAGAAGTGCCAGTCAGACGCGTCAAGGGGAAAACCTAGGAAGACACAGGGAAGGGTGCGGGCAGTGAGCTTGTCCGTGCCGGAGGCACGAACGTGAGCAAGGCAGCCCCAGACGTGAAACACAGACGCGTCACTAGGTGACCCAGACCAAAGAAGGGTCGGCGAAACCTGCGGCTGCTGGGGGTGCGGCCAGAGGTTAAGCTGGTGAGCGGCGTAGCGAACAGTGAACAGCCAGAGAAAATGGGGGGCACCGGCATGGATCATGGAGGTGCGAGCCACCTCCATGACCAAACCGATGCGTCGTCAGCGACCCCATTCTACTGCGGGGAGTCCGGCAAGGTGAACGTGTGGGTGATGCCCTCCGCACGACAAAAACGACCAAGGACACGAGAGGCAAACTCGCCACCACGGTTGGAGTGGAGACACAAGACAGGGAGACCGCGGTGGACACACGCAGAGACAAGCCAGGGGATGAGAGACAAGCCACACGCAGAGACAAGCCAGGGGACAACACGGAACATCATACATCAAAATCACGAAACATAAATCAGAACTAGTCGATGAAGTCAGGAAACCTGCCAAGGAAGTGGTGCTGCACTACGCCTCACCTGTGAGCAATGCAGTGAGCAGAGACAAGGTGCGGCACGAGCTGCCGAAGGCGAGCAACCAGACCCTGTCGATCCCCCCTCATGACGCTGGCCCCATCCGTACTGATGCCTGAAACCTTATTGATGTCGACACCTGCCGATTCGAGATGGGTCTGCAGAACGGCTAAGAGGGATCCAGCATTGCACTTATGCACAGTGACTAAGGCAAAGAACTCAGTGACAACCCTGTCGTTCTTCACAAATGTCACGTAGACAATTAAGTGCTTGCCGCGCCGTCGATCGGTACTTTCGTCGACGCTGAGACCGATGAAATGACTCTTCAGGATGTGCTCGAGCTGCTTCTGCCGAAGGTAATTCGCCGTCGCCTTTGTCAGCTGCCTGAATCCGTACCTGCAACACATGGCAAGCAACAAGAAGCATTAGATGACTCTAGCGGTTCGAACAATGGGAGATTTGCGAAATCCAAAAAACATACTCTATGTGGTAGGTGCCGTAGTTGCTCTCGCCCAAGTCCGGCGTACCCTGCGAGGCCATGAAGTTCACCAGAGAAACATACATCAAGATCGGTGCGTCAGTTCTGCAGATGAATAACATCGCCATCAACAACCAAATGATACGTCTACCTTCGACGTCGCCATTCGAGAAATCCTCGATGCGCTTCTGCTTCGTCTCGGCCCGCTCCTTAGCCTCCTTTTTCTCAACAGCGGCCTGGTGCTTCTTGGTACGCTGGTGCTTGCGCATCGTCTGCACCTGGATGTCTGCTCCGCCCTGTCCGCCTTTGCCGTACTTGCAGTTCTCCGACCGGTGCGCCGTCCAGATGCTGCACTTGATGGACGGGCGACCAAGATCAGTCTTGGTGAGGACGAGCCACGGAAACTTCTTCGACCACTCGGTTTCAAACTTGTGTTTCAGCTCTGCCTCATGTGCTTTAGCGACCTTCAGCGGCTCTGCTGCTTCTGCGTCCTCCTCCTCGTCGTCAGCATCATCGTCCTCCATATCTTCTGCGGTAGACGGGCCGGGCGCTGAACTCGGTGCAGAGTCAGGAGCCTTGGATGTGGCGCCCTTGAATCACGGCAGAGAAGCCTGCCGATACTTTCGCTTCTTGGCGGAGGAGCGAGCTGATGCTTCGGCATCGGTTTCCAAGCGGACCGCCGACGATGGTGTGGGCGATTGCGAGGGCTGAGACAAGGACGGACTGGACGAACGCGCAGGCGACAAAGGAGGGGATGCTAGTGGCACGGGCCATGGCGAGGGCTCGGCTGAGGAAGGCGCAAGCATAGGGTCGATAGCGGCTGGGCGACGGGAGGTATCTGCAGCAGGGGTGCGCGACAGCTTTGAACGCAGGAAGTCTAGGCCTCGCATGGGAGGCGGGGATTCGCTACACCCTTCTGGCTGATCGTCGCCGTCAGCCTCGACAACGACAGCCATGTTGGCCCTAATTCGAGAGGGGATTCTAAACCTGAAACAGAACACGAGCAGAAGAACACAACGCACGACAACAACACTAGAACGTAAGAGAAGTGGATGGAAGAAACAGGTGGAGACGAAGGGAGCAAGAAGCGGTTGGGGAGGGGGTTTCTTGGTCAAGTGCCATGGCGGCACGGACTGGCAAGTGACGAGACGATGGGTGGGGCGACGCGTCGTGATGGGCGGGATGACGTACAGCGGTGCACGTAAGCTGCAGCAAGTTCACTGCATGGGGTGAGGCATGGTCTGATCCCCACCGTGCGCTGCAGACCCAAGTAACGCGCCGCAAAGGGCTCTGACTGGTCTGCTTTTCTGCAATACCGTAAAGTATCCAATCACATGTGCTCTAGCCACATCAGATGTTGCCACAGAAGGCTCGGGAAGGCTCATGTATGCCAAGGATGCGGAGGGGGGACGTGTGGCGACGCGAAAAAGGGAATATTCGCATGGGAGCACCTTACACCTGTATGTCTTTGTTTCAGAGAAACTCAAAAGACTTGTCTAAAAATCAGAGAAACTGGTACACCTAGTCTGAAAAATTCAGAGAAATCTTAAAATTTTGTCTAGTCCAATCAGAGATTTTGAAAGCCCCTGTCTGAAAAATCAGAGAAACCCCTAAAAACCAGTCTGAAAATCAGACAATCAGACAAAAAAAGTCTGCTATTTAGGACCCTGTCGCAGACGCGCCAACTCTTGCTGGTTCAACTCGTGAGTAATATCAAAACAAGGAGCATGGATATAGCTAGCCTAGGAGCACACGGTCGTGGCTCGGCAGAGCTGCAACGTGTGGTTCGTAATATGGCGCGGAGCGCCCATCCAAGCATGCAACAGCAAGGCGGGCAACAATTGTCGTGGCACTGGGATAACCCTGTTGATCCTCTCTCTATCTCTAGGAAGGGTACTGGGGTGGGGAGGCTTTCCTCGGGGAATGTGGATATATGGAGCCTAACCCAGGAGGCCACATTAGGGACCGCGATTTGAATTTCGTGGCAGAGCTACGCGGCAACCCCGTTATAGCAGTGTACGCCTTCATGACTAAAACCCGTGATAAGGAAATACCATTACCTTACAGTTCTAGAGAAATAATCACAAAGTGCAGATAAAGCACTAGCTTAGGTGACTTAGAAACTGCAAGAAGGGGGAATGGTTGCTTGCCAAGCTAAACCCCGTAGGCTTGTAGGTATAATCAAATCAGCGGCACTACTGTGTGCAGCTTAGCACAACACAACCTGCGCCCTTTCTCAAAGCCAACATAAACATTCAACCAGACTCATGCTTGTGACAAGGACAGGAGGTGCCGGTTGTGCGGCTTCCAGAGCTGAGAGCGGTTGCAGCTGAGGGGTTCCACAGGGATGATGCTGCCAGGGTTCAGCGGAAAGAGCTGGCCGAAGTAGTTGTCGCGCACACCAGCTATGTCACACGTGGCAGCAACTCCAGGCGTCTGGTGGTGAGGGAGAGGGGAGGCAGGGAAGCAATAAGGCAGGAGGAGCCATGAGGGAAGCAGGACGGTTTTCTGGCAGGGTGAGAAGGGACATTGGACGAGTAACGTAATGGAGGTATGGCCTGCTTGATAGAGGGACCCCCGAGAATCGCTGGAAGCAGGTTCTGGGACCAGCGAGAAAAGGGGAGGAGATGTACAGTGAGAGAATGGATAGGAAGACACAACAGGAATCCGCAACAAGACCAGAAGTTAGGTCAAGAGAGGAGCGAGGGCTACCTGGAAAATATCGCGCATGTACGCGTGCAGATTGGAATACTCCACGATCTTCCTGCGCGAGCACTTGAAGAGCGTGTGGTATGCGGCGTCAAAGCGCACGAGCGTGGTGAAGAGGCGCACGTCCGAGAGCGTGAGGGCGGGCCCGCAGAGGAAGCGAGAGGTTGCTAGGTGCGAGTCAATGCGGTCCAGAGTGGTGAACAGGTCGGTTACTGCTCTGTTGTAGGCTGCCTGGCTTGTGGCGAAGCCACACCTGAGGAGGGTGGGAAGGAGGGAGGGGGAATTGGGGATGTGAGAAGCTGTGTGGATACGGGGCATCAGAAAAGGTGGGAATGAAACAAGTGATGATGTGGAAAGGGGGCGTGTTTCAAAGTGCCATGTGATACTGTCAGACATAAGGGCTGGATTGTGCCATGCCGGACCTTGCTGTGCCATGCCATGCCATGCCATGCCACGCCATGCCACGCCATGCCATGCAGAAGATGCCGACTCACCTGTACACGCCGTTGTTGACATTGTTATAGATCTCCTCGTCCCATGCAGCCATCTGCTGGGAGAGCGCCGCGGGTGCGAGGTCCAGGTGGGGGTTGTCAGCGTAGTCATTGAAGGCGGCGTTGAGGATGCGGATGATGTCCGCACTCTCGTTGTTCACCACCCGACTGCACGCGCCGTGGGGACGTTCAAGCGGGCAAGAGGGGGGGAGGAAACGGGGGGAAAAGGGGGGGAGAGGCAGGGAAGGATGATGAATCCAGAGGCTATGAAAGATGGAGGGAGGGCCAAGGGGAGAGGCGGACAGGAGGCAGGGAGAGAAGGCAGGGGTACAGAAGCGAGGGAGGAGTGGGAGGAAAGGCACGGGCAGTGTCACCAACTCGACACAGAATCTTTGAGCCTCATCATGCTGCCATCATTCCTCAAATGCAGCACGCCATTACCACCATGATTCAGGAGTCACCACACCCATTGGCTGCCATCCCACCCGCACCCAGCACCCCAACCCTGTCCCCCGCACCACCCCTCTCCTCCTCCGTGTTCCTGGATCCTCACTTGGTCTTGGCGTCCCACAGCATTGGCACGGTGCTGCGCCCATCGTACCCGCCCTGCTGCTGCCCATACACCTCCTTCAGCACCGCACACCCCCCTGCCCGGTCCTCTGTCGGTACTAGCAACTCCTCCTCCTTTCCCCCCTCTCCCTCTCTCACTCCCCCTCCCTCTCTCCCCTCGCCCCTCCCTCTGCTCCCTACGCCACCCTTCCCTCGAGGCCCTTCGCCTGTAGCGAACTCCCAGAGCCCGCCCTCGCCCGGGCGGGCGATGGAGAGGGGCACGGCGGAGGAGAGGCCCTTGAGGGAGTGCACAATGAGCGTGCGGTGCGCCCACGGGCACGACAGTGCTGCGTACAGATGGTACCGCCCGGGCTCCGCGGGGAACGTGCCGGGGGCGACTGTCTGCCCGCTGCTGCCGGTGCTGCTGGTGGTGGTGCTCTTGGTAATGGTGGGGGTGGTTGCACGGGAGGCAGCAGAGGTGGAGGCGGGTGGGGGCTGGATGGTGTGGCGGTAGGCGCTGGGGGTGCGCTTGTAGTTGCCCGCCTCGTCGCTGGGCGCTAGCTGTGCCATCATCACCCGCCACCCACTGCCCCATGCCTCACGCGCTACCTGCTTGCATGCACACACACAGTCACGCACACACACATGCGCGTATGCAGCAGACACAGCCACGCACGCACACACAGTCATTGTTGCACACATGCACATGCATATACATACACTCACACACGTGCACGTGCGCACTGACACTAAGACACAGGCGAGCAGAAGCAGGGGTGCAAGGAGAGTGTGGTGAGCGGTGAAGCATCAAGTAGCAGCAGTGGCGGAGCCAGTCCAAGATCGGTCAGCGGTAGATGCAACAGCCCTTTCAGGTGGCAGCTTAGTGACGTGCCCACCCAGCCATCACGAGCCACTCACAGAAGCCCAACCATGGCCCCATGGCCCCATGGCCCCATGGCCCCATGGCCCCATGGCCCCATGGCCCCATGGCCCCATGGCCCCATGGCCCCATGGCCCCATGGCCCCATGGCCCCATGGCCCCATGGCCCCATGGCCCCATGGCCCCATGGACCCCATGGCCCCATGGCCCCATGGCCCCATGGCCCCATGGCCCCATGGCCCCATGGCCCCATGGCCCCATGGCCCATGGCCCCATGGCCCCATGGCCCCATGGCCCCATGGCCCCATGGCCCCATGGCCCCATGGCCCCATGGCCCCATGGCCCCATGGCCCCATGGCCCCATGGCCCCATGGCCCCATGGCCCCATGGCCCCATGGCCCCATGGCCCCATGGCCCCATGGCCCCATGGCCCCATGGCCCCATGGCCCCATGGCCCCATGGCCCCATGGCCCCATGGCCCCATGGCCCCATGGCCCCATGGCCCCATGGCCCCATGGCCCCATGGCCCCATGGCCCCATGGCCCCATGGCCCCATGGCCCCATGGCCCCATGGCCCCATGGCCCCTTGGCCCCATGGCCCCATGGCCCCATGGCCCCATGGCCCCATGGCCCCTTGGCCCCATGGCCCCATGGCCCCATGGCCCCATGGCCCTGCTATACCTACAAGAATTGCCTGAACAGCGCGGAGGAGTCAGCTTAGTAGGCTGGGATGGGCGGGGCGCTCACCTGCACGAGCAGCCCGGGCGGCAGCCCTTTCCCCCACAGCGCCTGCCCCGCTGCTGTCACCGCGCCCACCAACCTGCCGCCCGCATCCCCGCTGCTATCGCCCCCCCTGCTGGTGGCGCGGGGGGGAAGGACGGAAGGGGGGGTCGCGGGAATTTATTGCGGAGGGGAGGAGCGGGGAGGAGGGGGGGAGGGGGTGGACCAGCGAGGGGTGCGGAATGAGGGCAACTGACAACAGTGCGGCGGACGGAGCTGCGCCACAACATGGGCCAGGCGGCTTTGCGGCTAGCGCGACCCACCGCGGCGTCTCACCTGCGCGCCGAGCACTTAACTACTCCCCGCAAGCGCCGAGTCGGCCGTAATCGCCCAAACGCAGCATTGGACGGAAGGTTTTCTCCTCTGGGAGCTGGGGAGTTGACGCGATGGGCGCCGGCTGACACGGCGGACGACCAGGCGAGCGAGTGCGAGGGATGCGGCGCGAGGAGGCCGTCCATGGCGGCAGTACGGCGACGAGCAGCGACAAGCACGCAGGGCAGGCTGGAGTTTCTGAGTGAGGAATTTGCGTGACTTAGGTTGGTGCTTCGTTGTCTCGATGCCTTGGGGAACTTGTGAAACAAAGTTGGGAGGACACAGAGCTCGTCCACTTCGGCTTTTCCGTGTACTGTATATCATGGAACATGAGAATTTGACGCAAATGATTAAAGATGTGAGAATATCGAAGGCTTTTGTCCATATAGGAACACGCCTGAAGTGGGCACTCACTCCTCCCAGAAGAATACGTCAAAAGCCTCCAAGAGGTTGGGGCCGAATAGGTCGGAGGGGGCTGGTTTTGTCAACTTAAACATATATCTGTATGTAGAATTATAGACTAGATAGGTGTGTGTTCTTAGAGGGTACAACTCCAACCCTATATCTCCCTTGTTCTCTCTTGTTTCTAGTTATTCTAGTATTCTAACATGGTATCATGAGTAGGTTAGGTCCGCCCACCCGCTTCCACCCCTCGCCCTAGCCTACCGCGCCTCGCCGGCCCCTAGCGCATCCGCCAGTCCCTAGCGTGCCCACCGTCCCCTCGCGCCTAGCCGGCCCCTCGCATGCTCGTCAGCCTCTCGCGCCTAGCCGGCCCCTCGCACCTAGCCGGCCCCTCGCGTGCTTGCCGGCCCCTCGCGCCTAGCCGGCCCCTCGCGTGCTCGTCGGCCTCTCGCGCCTAGCCGGCCCCTCGCACCTAGCCGGCCCCTCGCGTGCTTGCCGGCCCCTCGCGCCTAGCCGGCCCCTTAGCCTCTCGCCATCCCCTCGCGCCTAGCCGGCCCCTCGCGCAGAGCTGGCCCCTCACGCGCCTAGCCGGCCCTTCGCGCTCTGCCCCTCGTGCGCCCGCCTGCCACTCGAGCACCTCCCCCGCTCCTCACGCGCCCTCCTGGCCCCAGCGCTCCGCCGGCCCGTCGCGACCTGCCAGCTCTGCTCGCCTCGGGCCCTCCTCGGCCTCCCGTCCGGTTCTCCAGCCGGAGAGCCCTGCCGCTGAGTACCTATGCCGCTGTGCCGCCATGTCCCCGTGCCGCTCTGACGCCGTGACGCTGTGCCGCCGTGGACATGTGCCGCTGAGGCTGCGCGATCGAGGAAGCCGTACTTCGCCTGGACGCTGAGGGGCAAGCGATCGATTTCGCCGCCTGACTTGTCGATCACTGCCGACACCTGACAGGTTAGCGCCAGGATGGGCACTCCTTGGCTATGCTGTTGATGGCTTCCTTCCCCGCCCCTCTGCGCCTGATCCCCTCCCTGCTGACCCCACCACTGCTGAGAGTGAGGCCTTTGCTGCTGCTGCGCTCGCTCGCGCTGTCTGGGACTCTCGCGATGCTGTAGCGCAGCTCGCCATTAGTCATGCGCTTCCTCTGTCTGGGAGCGTCCGCGCAAACTGCTGTCGCGAACGCCAAGGACTTCCTAGATGCAGTAGTTGCGCGCAACTCCACCCCTGCCTCCGCCTCCGCTAGCCGCTTGATCCTCCCTATGCTATTCTCTTATCTTTCTGCTTTCCCCACTGTCGCTGACCTCGCTACTCACCTCCGTGCACTAGAGACTAGCTACCGCGCTGCTAGCACTACCGCCCAGCTCACCGCTTTCCCCCCACCGTTCTACGCTACCCTGTACCTTATTGCCATGCGCCTGCCTGACCACTTAGCCACTGCCCGCAACCACTTCCTTAGCCAGCACCTTGGCGACCTCACCCTGACCGCACATGTGACTGCTCAGTCTGAGATAAAGACTCGCCAGCGCACTATTGCTCAGTCGAGCAGTGTTGCGGCAGTCCCGATCTTTCAGGGCTGTGCTCCCTCCCAGTGCACGCACGCTGACGTTTCCGCCACGATTGCCACGGCTGCCCCCACCACTAAGATAGCAACTGCGGCTTTCCCACAGCAGCGACAGCGTCGAGGCCGCTGCGGCCCCAGGGGAGGGCGTGGTGGTGGTGCTGGTGGTGGTGGTGGTGGTGGTGTCGTGGACAGTGGTTCTGACGAGGGGGTTGGAGCTGGTGTTCAGGAGCAGTAGACACACCAGCAGCAGTCGCCGCCGCAGCAGCAGCAGCCGTGGGCCCGCCTCCCGCCGGGGTGGCAAGAAGCACCTGGTGGTGGTGGCCGCGGTGGCAGCTCCCGCAGCTCGGCGCCTACCGGTGGCTTCGGTGCTGTGAGCTGCCAGTACGAGCTCTAGACTAGGCCCCTCCGTGGCACTGTGTGCCGCTGCCCACACCCGACCGCCCGCTGCTTCCGCCGCCTTGGCGACCTCTTTCGTCGCCGCTTCGGCCCGGCCCCAGACCTCCCTGACTGGACTAGTCTGCTGCGCCACGGTGTGCAAGTTTTGACTTAGACATGGATCAAATTAGTTATGCCATGCATTCTCTGTATGCTGACGCTACTAGTGTGTCCAGATCTAATAACCCTGTGTTCTCTAGCTTAGGCATAGCATCTGTGTGTAGTACAGACTCCCCTGCTGCATAAGGCGTATGACCCTTTGCTTTGTCTAGCCTAGGTTCTATACTCTTGTGGCACCACCTCCGGCACGGACAAGCTCACTGCCCGCACCCTTCCCTGCGTCGTCCTCGGTTTTCCCATTGACGCGTCCGACTGGGACTTTTACCACCCGCCGTCTCACCGCTTCTTTCACTCTCGTGACGTCACCTTTGACGAGTCCGTCTCCTACTACCGTCGCTTCCCCCACCGTGGTCCCCCGGTTACCCCCCCCCTGTTCCTGGTCACTCCTTCCCCGGTAGTCCCTGCCCCTCCTCCTCCTCCTCCCCGTCCCGCCCCCTCTGGTGTGTCCCACGTCACCCCCCTTCCGTCGGTGGCCCCGGTTAAGGAGTCTTCTGACTCTGGTGGCCCTCCTGTTCAGTCCTCGCCGGCCGCCCCTCCCCCGGCGTCCCCTCCCCAGTCCCCTCCTCCACCGCCTCTGCCGCCGCTGCAGCCGTCGTTGTCGCTGCCGCCGCCACCACCGCCGCCGCCGTCGCAGCACCCGTTCGCTGACTCTGGGGGTGCTTGTCCCTGTAGCCCTGGGGGTGGTCCCTCTGGGGGTGTTGGTATGGAGAGTGCCGGTGGTAGCCGAGGAGCAGCTTGCGGTCCAGGTGTCGCTGTTGTGCCGCCGCCGCAGCAGTCCCCGCCGGTGTCAGCCCTTCGCCTGCTCGGCCTTCCGTCCCCCGACCCTGCGTCGGTTCCTCCCCGACCGTCTCCTCCTCTTCCTGTCTACGGCCCTGTTTTCCCTCCGCCGGACTTGTCCCCGGCCCGTCTCCCCCCTCGTTCCCCTCCTGTGTCCCCTCCTCTGTCTCCTGACCCGACTCCTCCGTCGCACGTCTGGTCTCACCGTCCCTCCCGTGCTCGTCCTGCCTCGCCTGTCTTGCGCTCCCACCCTATGTTGCTTCGTTCCCACGCGTCTCGTCCTCCCCTTCTGCCGTCGCCTCCTCCGTCCTCCCTTGTTGTTGCACCCCCCCCGCTGTCTGACTACCTTCGTGCCGCTCGTCCCCTTATTCCTCGGGTCCTTGCCTCTCTCGTTACCGACCCGTCTGTTCCGGTCTCGTGCCTTGACGCCCTTGTCGCTGCGGTCGCTGACTTCGCCTCTACCCGCCGCCTTGACTATGCCTCAGCTCTGGTCTCTGACCCTGCCTGTCCTCCGTCTGTCGGGGGTGCTCCTGCCCTTGGCAGTGACGTCCTGGAGGACCGCCAGTTCGAGCTTGCTTTCCTCTCTGAGGCTGCTCCCCATCTCTGTTCCATGCTGCTAGTCCCTGAGGGTGACCCAGACGCTTTCGACATCCCGACCCCTCGCACTTACGCTGAGGCGACTTCGGGACCCTGGGCCTCGCAGTGGATAGCTGCCATGGAGCAAGATATGGCATCTTGGAGATCCACCGGCACCTTCGTCGACGCAGTTCCCCCACCTGGGGTGAACGTAGTCGATGGTCGCTGGCTCTTCAAGGTGAAGCGCCCTCCTGGAGAGCCGCCTGTCTTCAAGGCGCGCTATGTGGCTAGAGGCTTCAGTCAGCGCGAGGGGGTGGACTTCTTTCAGACCTTCGCTCCGACCCCGAAGATGACTACTCTTCGGGTTCTCTTACACCTAGCTGCTCAGCGTGACTACGAGCTTCACTCCCTCGACTTCTCCACTGCCTTCCTTCAGGGCAGCCTACACGAGCAGGTCTACCTGCGTCGCCCTCAGGGCTTCACTGGCACCTTCCCTCCTGGGACCCAGTGGCTCCTGCGGCGCCCCGTCTACGGCCTGCGCCAGGCTCCCCGTGAGTGGCACGACACTCTCCGTGCTACGCTTGCTGATCTGCAGTTCTTTCCGTCTTCCGCAGACCCTTCACTCTTCGTTCGTGCTGGCCAGACTCCGTTCTACATCCTTGTTTACGTCGACGACCTGGTCTTCGCCACAGCAGACAGGGACGCACTGGCCTCCGTGAAGGCAGAGCTGCTGAAGAGACACACGTGCACTGACCTTGGAGAACTGCGCCGTTACCTTGGCTTGCAGATCTCCAGGGACAGAGCTGCGCGCACCATCACCCTGACTCAGTCACACTTGGTGCGCCAGGTCCTTCAGAGGTTCAGCCTTCAGTTCTCCTCTGCACAGCCCACCCCTCTGCCTGTAGACCACAGACTCTCCGCTCCAGTGTCTGAGGAGTTGGTAGAGCCCAGCGGCCCCTACGCAGAGCTGGTGGGTTGCCTCATGTACCTGATGACTTGCACTCGCCCAGATCTCGCATACCCTTTCAGCATCCTGGCTCGCTTTGTGGCCACAGGCAGACACCGACCGCAACACTGGTCTGCCGCTAAGAGGGTTCTGCGTTATCTTGCTAGTACATCGGGCAGGGGGTTAGTGCTAGGAGGACGCAGGCCAGTGGTCCTTACTGGACACACAGACGCTTCGTGGGCAGACGACGCTGAGACACTCAGGTCTACCGAGGGCTACTGCTTCAGCCTTGGCTCAGGTGCCGTCTCGTGGAGAGCTATCCGCTCCTCGTCTGTTGCGCGGTCCAGCTGTGAGGCTGAGATCTACGCTGGTGCCATGGCGGCACAGGAGCTCCGCTGGCTGACCTTCTTGCTCACTGACTTAGGTGAGCGGCCTACCTCTG